TCACCCGTGGTCATCAGTTAGGTTTGTTGTCAAAGGGGCGTTAAGTCTGAGGACAAAGTTGTATTTTCACCTATATTTCTTTCTTCTTCGTTCATAGCAATGGTATGTCTGCAACATTTTCCCCTCTAGATGCTTCTTCAAATCCTCCACCATCGCCTTCACGTCCAGTTTCCCGGTCACTGTCAGTAGATCATTTTGTATATCCACTTTCACCACTTTTTCTTAATCAAGCATACAACATTCATGGAGTAAAAGGAAAAGTGGGATACACGTATAGGAATTAACTCTTTCTCGTAGTGGAAATAACAGGTTTGCCCTCACACTTAACGTCCATTTGACACCAAACCTAACGGAGGACCACGAGTGGTTATTTTTTTAAACTTGGAGGACATCTCGTGGTCGTTTTAAACTCGGAGGACCACACCTGGTAATACCTTAATACTCGGAGGACCATTAGAGGTATTAACTCTAAAATTATTACTCAAGTCACTTTTTCACCTTTAATTATTTACAAGTAGGCCACTAACAGAGTCTATTGAATTTGACAGAAAATCTTGCATTGTAAAAATTGTCTTGGGCAATTGAGTAAGTTCACATCTCATGTATCGCCACATATGCACTACGGCATGAATTCAATGAGACATCAAAATAAGTAATTTATTATATGCAATAAACGGGAAAAAAACTATAACAAACTAGAATATTTGAAGTTATAGTTCACTATGTCCTTAATCCAAAGTAATATCTGACTTGTCATTTTTGCTTCTAAAGTCAAATTCTTCTTCAATTAAAATATGTAAGTATTTATATTGTGTTCTACAATGAGGTAAATAAATTTTAAGTTTAGTGGGTTTAGTGTATACTAGATGTTGTTCCACGTGATAACGGGTAAATACAATCTATCTATCTATACTATATATATATATATATAACTAAAATCCTCCACTTAACTTCTCCCCAAAATCCTCAAATTTTAATATATTATTTTCTATTTTTCTATATATTCGTACTATAATTTTACATTAAAATTCATATTCTAATATTGTAAAATAATGTAATACAATTTCTAATAGAATATATTCTTTCCTATTTTTCTATTCGTACTATAATTCTACATTAAAATTCCTATTCTAATATTGTAAAATAGTGTAATACAATTCCTAATAAAATATATTTTTTGCTACTTTTCTATTCATACTATAATTCTATATTAAAATTTCTATTTGCAATACAATTAGACAATATTAAAACACTATTATAATGCTCCATGCGTGACAAATAAATCTGACAGTACAAATACTAAAAATAGGAAGCAACATATATTATAATTATTATTGTTAATGTTATCTTTATTATTATTATTATTATTATTATTATTATTATTATTATATGTATATATATATAATATTTGAACATATGTCAGTCAGAAAGGGGTGATTGAGTAGTAAAATAGTCAAACATAATATTAGCAATACAACAATATTAAAATTCATATTTCTATTCAATAATATTATATTATTCTTTTTCCCGTTAAAAATTATATTCTTCCTTATTAGTTTTATAATTCTCCGTTAATTCTCTGTTAAATTTACTAAATTTCAAAATTTCATTAAAACTCAACTTCCTGGCTAAATTATTAAGATTTAAATAAAAAAAATCCTTAAAAACATGCACGCTTAATTCACAGTTAAAATCAAACTCAATATCCCAACTCCATGTTGTAGTCAAACAATCCTAAATCACCAATAAATATAGCACAAAACCCAGTAGTCTATCACCAAAACTGAAACAGAAGAATGTGGAAGAGCAATTTGGAGCTTGGATTTTCAATTTGGAGCATTCTATTCTATTAACTTTAGTTTCGATAGGTGAAGTAAGGATTACAAGTTCTTTTTTGGTGATTATGCAGTTTATGTTTTTTTTTTTTTTTTTTTAATGTTGCAGTATAAAATGATTCATGTTTTAGTTTCATTTTATATTTATTTATTAACTGTTTTCTATTACAGTTGTTTCTCTTGAGTTTTCACATATTGCAGAAAGTATTCCAGCCAGGCATGGCGTTGGTGATGATCATCATTCTCAATTCTATTCGGTAATAACAGATTAACAGTTTTAATCTTTAAAAAAAAATCTTATTTCAATCTATAACTAATTGCTTTTATTATTAGGTTGATGTTGAGGCATAGTGTTGGATTGAAGAATAAAGTAATGACTTAGTATGGTTCAAGTATTGTGTAGTTTTTTCCTCTTTTATATGTATCACATTTTACAATAAATTTCAAGTATTCTGTAATATACAAATCTGCTTTTTTCAAGTGTATTAAGATCGATTCTATTATTTTGAACAATAATATTTAGGGAATTGTGCTCTTCGATCTCCAGTACACCACTGAAAAATTTATTCTATTAGATTCAAATCATTTAATAACTTAATGTATCAATAGATTGGCAATGGTGAGGTTGTGGGTGATAGTTCAGTGATAAAAGAGACGCCTTCTGAATGAGTTCTCATCAACCCAAACATCACAGAATAAAGGGCCCTCATTGTAAGCTTGAAGGAAACTCATTGATTATAATTCCTTCTGAATGAGTTCTCATCAACCCAAACATCACAGAATAAAGGGCCCTCATTGTAAGCTTGAAGGAAACTCATTGATTATAATTTATGTGGTTGAAGTGTCTGGTCTGTATAGCCATGATGACGGGTGGTATTATATATATATATATATATATATATATATATATATATATATATATATATATATATATATATATATATATATATATATATATATATATATATATATATATATATATATATATATATTTTTTTTTTTTTGTTATTGGGTTTCAAAGACAATTGTGTCCGGTGGCACATAAGATTGTTTACTTTGAGCTACTGGTTGAACATAAGCCTTTCTAAGATTTTGTAAAGCTCATGTAATCAATGAATTTTCAAAATTCCCAAGCACATATTCTTCTAAGTAGGTGATTGGATTGTAATCAAACTGTTTTGATGGTTGAATTATTCTTTTGAAGGGAGTTCAAGTATGGACATATATAGCTAATTTGGTGGTTGGAGTCCATGAAGAAGTTTTTCATATCTCTTGAGTTTTTCATTATTTTTTGGATGTATATTATAGGTTTGAGTTCTATAATATTGTAAAGTATTGAGAATATGTACTTTTGATAATTCTTATGTATTGTTAATAGACTATTAGATGTTTGGTAATATTAACTTTTTACTATTAGCGGTTAAATGTAAAAAATATATATAAGGACATTCGTAATAATAATAATAACAATATTATTATTATTATTATTATTATTATTATTATTATTATTATTGTTGTTGTTGTTGTTGTTGTTGTTGTTTTTGTTGTTGTTGTTGTTTTTGTTGTTATTGTTGCTATTATTATTATGAAATAATATAGTATAATTTATAATAATACTAATCTATACTATATATAAAAACAAAATTCTCTATTTTAACTTCCCGCCCAAAAGACTCCTATACTATTAAGGTTTACGCAATATTATAATAATATGGTAATACAATTACTATTCGTAGTACAATTGTATATTAAAATATGGTAATACAATTCATAATACAATATATTCTTTCCTACTTTCCTATTCCTAATACAATTCTAGATTAATAATAATAATAATAATAATAATAATAATAATAATAATAATAATAATAATATTAAAGTCCTCATCTTCAACTTTTCCACTCAAACTAATATGAATATTAATTAATTGGTAAAAAAAATTAATAATTGACTGAAAATATTAAAAATAAATCCGTTATTAATAATTAACTAATTAATATGTAATAAAAAAGAATAATTGACTGAGAATAAAAATGACACCAAAATTATGCCAATTGAAAAACGAAATGAATATTAATACTTGATTAAAAATTAAAAATGATCACAAATTGATTCAAATGAAAAAGGAAATGGCTAGTATAGATAAATTAAAAAATGAATATGTTATTAATAATTGACTGAAAATATTTAAAAAATCTATTAATAATAATTAATTAATTTATATATAGTAACAAAATAATAACAGGGCGTTTGGTTGGAGGGAGAGAATTATGTGGGAAAGAAATTGCAATTCCATGGGAGACGAATTACTAGGAATAAAGTGAAAATTTAAATTTCAGTGTTTGCTTTATAGGAATATAATTACTGAGAATTTCAATTCCAATATTTGGTATATATTGGAATTGAAAGGGAATAAGTAATATAAAATCCAAAATACTTATTGTTGTTGTGGGCATCAATTTTAAGTTAAAAAGTGGGAGGGGTAATTTTCTCTAATGATTATTTTTTTTCTTCCTAAAATCTATGGAATTAAAATCGGGGGGAAGGGGGGGGGGGGGGGGTGGGATTTTAATTCCATGAAAATGAGGAAATTGTAATTAGGTGGGAATTAAGTGAGAATGGAATTTAAATTCCCTCCAAACAAACGCCCTGTAATTGTCTAAGATAAAAAATGGCACGGAAATTATGCAAATTGAAAAAGGAAATGAATATTAGTATTTGGCTAGAAATTAAAAATAATCCCCGTTTAACTATTTCGAGCAGGAAACAGATTAACTATAATATAGGTATTATATGAGATATATATGGATCTGAACTCATTGATTTTAAGAGAAAATAGTAATGCAATGGGCAAACTATTTTGAGAATACTTTGCACAAAGAAGATTGTTACTACATTATTGCATGACTATGTTAATTATATGGCAATTAAAAGAGGAAGTGAATATATATATATATATATATATATATATATATATATATATATATATATATATATATATATATATAGACGAGGATGGACAAGATTCTATTGCTACTATCCATGTCGTCTATAAAGAGGTTTTCAATATTCAACCAGTGATATTATCTTTTCTTTTTATGCCAAGATGAAAAAATTGATATATATCTACACAGAAAATATATCTTCCATACAAATAAATTAGGATCGCAAATAATTTATATAACTGAGTTACTAGACATTATGTGCTTAGATGACATTAGTGACCTCTCTCAGTCATGAGATTGAGCCTCAGTCGCACATGTAATCTGCATAAACATTCTCACATTTGAGATGTAATTCATACATTAGTTTTATATATATAAATAATGAAGAATCTGGAAGCTTATCTTCATTTCTTGGCCAGATCATCTCACCCACACTCTCACATTTGAGATGTAATTCATACATTAGTTTTTTATATATATAAATAATGAAGAATCTGGAAGCTTATCTTCATTTCTTGGCCAGATCATCTCACCCACACTCTCACATTTGAGATGTAATTCATACATTAGTTTTTTATATATATATAAATAATGAAGAATCTGGAAGCTTATCTTCATTTCTCGGCCAGATGATCTCACCCACACATCTCTTATCCTCACATGCAGTCGCTCTATCTCTGCATCTATCAATATTAGAAAACTATTAACTAATTCAATGAGTAAGAAATAAAGTAATAATAAAATTGTAGGTAGCTAGGGATAGATATCTTTATATATACTCTATAATATGTATAAAGGTAGTGCCTTATAGCGGAGAGGGTCATCCGCCATGGCTGTCTGCATGGTAAGGACGACGGCAGCAATGAAAAGCCGAGGGAGAAGAAAGAAAAGCTTTGAGTTGGCCATGGTAGATATATATAGTTTGTTAATCAATATTCAGTTGATGAGAGTATAAAAAAGACTTTTACTTTTCTATTTTGCTATTATTATTATTATTATTATTATTATTATTATTATTATTATTATTATTATTATTGTTTCTTATTCTCTTGTTAATCTCAACAAATTAATATTAGAGATCATCAACAAATTCAACAGAGAAAATTAAAGGGTGTTTAATTTATACCTGATATGACTTATCTGGATGGAGTTTGCTCCTGCTACTGAAATATGCAAGAGAGAGAGAGGGGGAGGGAAGATGATGGAAAAGGAATAAAATAATAGAAGGAAAAGATAATGCTTATTTTGATGCCATATTTGTTGCATAGCCACATATATTCAATCCTTATATTATGCACCAGGCTCACAATGCATTGTGTGTCTCAGGACTCGCAATATGTGTGCCTTGTGTGCCTTAGTGCACGATATAATTTACCAATATTTATAGAATTGACATGCATCGGCATAGTAAAATGATAATTATATTGATAAGTATATTTTTAGAGGTAAAATTTTTGTCATATTTTTAAATTTAAATTGGAAAAAAATGAATGAAATAAAAATTGAGTAAATACATGCAGTAAATTATTTACTTATAATATAATGCTCGAAAACATTTTAAGAGTCTGCTTTATTTCCATTTCAAAATCATTTATTCCAAAGAAATTAATCCACATCTATATCTATGTATACTATATATACTTCTAAACAAAATCTTGAACTTTAACTTCCTCCCCAATTCCTGGAAAATCTTATTTTCTAATAAAATATATTGTTTTCTACTTTCCTATTCATACTATAATTCTAGGTTAAAATTCCTATTCTAATATTATAAAATAGTGTAATACTTTTTTGAAGGTCAATCTTGCGATTGTATTAATGAATCAAAGCCGAAATAGCGTCAGGTGGGATAGCATCCCAGTACATGCTAACGTAGCTAAAGTATGCGCATGTAAATTAACCTGCCTAGAGATGTAATCCAAAGTAATACAATTAAATAACGACATAAACGTTCTGCACTGGTCAATTGTGACCCCAACGTACGAATGGATCGGCGTGTGATGGTGTCGGATAATCGTAGCCAATTCCATGCAATCCGTGAGTAAACTTACTGATGTGTTGTTCCGTTCATGTAGCCAAGACAGAGCTTCCTTGTATGCCTGGGCCTCCGCCATAAGTGGTGAAAAACAAATTGGTAATTTGTCATTCCTTGCTGCCACAAACGAGCCATCTGCCGCTATTATTATCATGCCGTATGTAGCCTCGCCCGTGTCGTGCCGGAAACCCGCGTCCACATAACACCGTAGACCGCCCTCCCCTGGACCGTTTAAGTGCTCCGATACCGCTGCCGGCTCGGTTCGGCGGACATGGGCAGCGCCGTACGCCTGCAGTGCTACGGTGGCTGCTCTGGCTAATTGGGCAGGCCGCATCATTGATCCCTTCCAGACAGCTGAATTCCGGATTCTCCAAATATAATATAATACTGCTACCATTAACCGGGTCTGCTCCTCCGTCATGGCCGCCATAGCCCCTTTTAGCCATGTTGTAAAAGAGTCTGCAACAATATTAATAATAGGCAAGTGTGTTATATTCCAAACAAGTCTAGAATATTCACAGAGCACTAAAGCATGTAACACATCTTCATGATCTAAACAACACATTGGGCAGGTTGGGTCCACCTCCACCCTTTTAAATATCAAGTTAAGGGTTGTTGGCAAAATGTCACATATGGCTCTCCACAAGAAAGTTTTCCATTTGGGTGGGACTTTTATTTTCCACATTGCAACCCATTTATCAAAATTCGCAGGATTATTCTCATAATCACCCACAATATGCCTATAGGCATTCTTTACTGTATATGTCCCCTTTTGGTCACTCATCCAATACCATGAGTCCTCATACTCAGGACTAATAGGGATCATATTTATTCGCTCCACATCTTCAGGAATAAATAAATCAGACAAAATATGTGGATCCCAGGTATGAGTCTGTAAATCAATTAATCCTGCAACTCGTGCCTCTCTCAATTCCTGTGGCATTTCTGTTTGAATCAATGGGCTAGGATTATCTCGTAACCACGGGTGCCCCCATATTAAAGTTGTTTGTCCATTCCCAATTCTCCTTCGCACCCTGAGACTACCATTGCATGGCCTGCCATTATACTTCTCCAACAGTAACTTGGGCAATTACCAATAGTTGCATCTGTAAAACTGGTTGTGGGATAATACCTTGCCTTATAGATTTTAGCTACGAGTGTTCCTGGGTCTGTTAAAAATCGCCATGCCTGTTTACCCAGCATAGCTAGATTAAAAGCCCTTAGTTCTTTAAAACACATACCACCATACTTCTTTGGTATGCACAACCTGTCCCATGCCTTCCAATGTATTCCCCTTTCTCTTCCATTCCCCCACCAATACTTATTCATAGTTCGCTCAATTGACTGACAAACTGTCTCAGGTAACAAAAAAACACTCATCGAATAGGTAGGCATAGATTGCGCTACACTTTTCAATAATACTTCCTTACCAGCCTGAGAAAGTAACTTTTTACTCCACGAACCAATTCGTTGCCTGATCTTTTCCTCCACATACAAAAAAAACAGCTATTATTTCTCCCTACAAAGGAAGGTAGGCCCAAATATTTCTCAAAATTGGGTGCTTGCACCACCCCCAGACAATCCGCTACCTGTGCCCTGTCAGCCTCCTGGGTATTTCTGCGAAAAACATATATTAGATTTATTATAATTCACCACCTGGCCTGACAATTTCTCATACCTTGCAAGGCACTGCCTTATAACTCCCGCCTCCTGGATATTTGCTTTAAAAAATAGGAGACTATCATCCGCAAAAAATAGGTGTGATACAGGCGGCGCCCCCTTTGCAACTCTGCACCCATGTATTGAGCCTGCCAACTGTTCATACTGTAATATCATCGAGAGAGCCTCTGCACAAATAATAAATAAATACGGAGAGAGAGGGTCTCCCTGCCTGAGTCCCCTGGTTGGTTTTACGTGCCCCCTGCTATACCATTGACCATTACAGTATAATTAACAGTTGTTACACACATCATAATGAGCTTTATCCACTTCTCACTAAAACCCATAACAGTCAGCATCCTTTCTAGAAAGTTCCACTTCATTCTGTCATAGGCCTTTGACATATCTAACTTCAATGCACTCCACCCCACTATACCACATTGCTTTCTATTCAGATAATGCCCCACCTCTGCTGCCACCAGGATGTTGTCAGTGATTAGCCTTCCCGGGATAAAAGCACTCTGGGATTCTGATATCAATCCTCCCATTAGTGTTTTCATCCTATTTGCTATCATCTTGGCCATAACTCTGTAAATGACATTACTCAACGCAATCGGCCTTAAATCTGCAACTGTCTCGAGCATCTCCTTCTTCGGTATCAAAACAATGTTAGTATCATTCAATCCCTCGGGGAATACACAGGAATTCAAAGCATTCGTTATAAAGCCAGATACATCTCCTCCCACTATCTCCCAAAACTGCTGGTAGAAACCCGGGTTCAACCCATTCGGACCCGGTGCCTTATCCGGATACATTGAAAAAAGAGCCTCTTTAACCTCATTAGTTTCAAAAGGGCGGTCAAGCATCATATTCTGCTCTAACGTTACTCGTGGGGTTAGGACCCCAAAAAGTGGATCATCACAACTCAATCCATTAGAGGCAAAAATATTGTCAAAGTAATTCTGTATAGCAGCATGAATATCATCCCCTTCCACCCAATTACCAGCATCACATTTAATACTAGAAATAAAATTCTTTTTCCTACGTGTAGTGGCATACCTGTGATAAAATTTTGTATTTGCGTTAGCCCCGCGTAGCCAGTGCTGCTTGGCTCGCTGCCTCCAAAACACATCCTCCTAGGCCTCTATTCGTTTCATGGAATTCTCAATCTGTTGGTACTCAGCTAGCGCTACCAAATCTCGCCTACTCCGTATGGCATCTTGCCTCCGCTGTAGCTGGTTAATTCGTTTTCCGAATTTATGAAACTGGTCTCCCCTCCACCGCATTAATTTTTCTCCACACAACTGCTGGCAATGCAGCAATCCCTCCGTCCTCCCCTCTTGCCAGGCCGTTTCTACTACTTCTTTGCACCCCTCATCTAATAGCCAAGCCATTTCAAACCTGAATCTCTGCGGCCCCCTTCCCCTTGACATGCAAATCGCATTAATACTGAGGAATAAGATCGAGTGATCCGAGGCCCGGGTTCGAATATTCTCCAACCATGCATTCTCATTGAGCAGACCCCAATCATTCGTTATTAAAGCCTTGTCCAATCTTTCCTCTATCCAATTCGGCGTCCCCTTTCCCTTCTGCCACGTAAACTGGTGGCCCCTCATTGGCATTTGCATCAAACCACAGTCATCCACAGCATCTCCGAAACCCCGTAACACACTATTAGGATACGGATTTCCCCCCTTCTTCTCATGCTGGTATAGTAGATTATTAAAGTCCCCTATCACCACCCAGGGCAACAAGGATCTAGTCTTGAGAGTACCAAGTAAATCCCATGTCTCCTCACGCCTACCACGTTCGGGGATACCATAGATACATGCCATGCGCCATAACTTATTAAACAAGCTTACTTCCACATCAATATGACTCTGCGAGTAGCTTAAAAGTCTCACCGTATTATTCTTCTTCCACAAAAGCGCCATTCCTCCACTCAAACCTTCGTTATCAACATAAAACAAACCTTCATACCCAAGCGTAACCCGGATCCGTTCTGCATGTACCCGTGGTACCTTGGTCTCCATCAAGAACACAAAATCAGGCTTCTTACTGGACGCTAGGCCCACAATCTGTTGAACTGTGCGTGGATTGCCCAAGCCACGACAGTTCCAGCTCAAAGTACTCATGATGATGGGCGGGGCTGGACACCAGCTCCCGCCATGGACAAGTTTTTTGAAACAGCTGCGATTGTTACCTCATCGTTTCCACTATCCTCTCCCCCCTCCGTCCCATGCCTACGACGCTTTGCCGTAGCCACCACCACCTCATCCTTAGACATACTCGTGGGTGTGACACCCCCACTTCCCTATCCCCCCATCCACCACACGTGGCTTGACTCCCAGTGGTCGTGGTTTCCCGCCAATCGGAACAAGCCAGCTATCCCCAACCGCTCTAGGAGCGCTCCGGGATCCACCAGCTCGCATATCCGGACCGTACAGGTACCTTTCGACCGGAATTCCAGCCTCCCTAGCGTGCATGCAGAAAGTATGCAAGTGACCCATACAACCACAAAAGTAGCAAAACTTATGCAGCCGTTCATATCTAAAATTTACCCATGCTGTAGTCCCATCTCTCTTCATCAACCTCATCCTCCTTCTAAGCGGCCTATCAACCGAAATTGACACCCGAATAGGGTGAAACGTTAGCCATGGCGCCCCTTCAAATCGGTCATCATGTTTAACAAAAGAGCCCAAAAAATTTCCTGCCTGTTCTAGAATTGCATGCGACGTGTATCCCTTTGGCATATCATGCAACTGTACCCACATGTCAATCTTATCCAGCTCTACATCCATAGGATTCACCCCATCTAACACCTCCTGACACACAAGTGCATTATTCTCAAAGGCCCAGGGTCCTCCATTCAGCACGTATTCCATATCTGTCTTATGGAAAAACACAAACAAGAACAAACCCCTTTGAATCTCCGTTACCTGTACTCCACGTACCGGTTTCCAAACAGACGCCAGAACCTGCCTCATAAAGTCCAGTTTTATCATCTTCTGCGTCAAAACCCGCCCGACAATCCTCCAAGTCTCTTCCTCCTCCTCCCCATCACCCTCTACTACCCCATCCCCACCTTCCCGCATAAACACCGCCCCCTCCTCCTCCATCAAAGCCATCTCCGCCCACCTATCTGTCAATTCCGCCACACCCACCTCCCCCCTCGGTCGGCCAGTTACCGGCCCTTCTCCACCACCCTGCCCCCTACCGTCTCCCAGCCTCTCCCTCAACCCGCCAACCTCCACCGACAACCCACCCCATCCTGGAAACCTACTGCCCTCACCACGCCCAACCCCCTCATCCAGGCGCATGCCTTCATGCAATCCATAAAACCTATCTCCCACCACCCCCCTTGGCGTTCGCTGCCTACCTTCCGAACCCCCCTCCCCCACCGGTTCGTCGCCCATCAAACCCCCCTCCACAGTTCGGCGATGATCACCCACACCCCCTCACTGATTCGTCGTCCGTCCAACCCCTCCTCCACTGTTCGGCGATGATCACCCAGACCCCCTTCTCCCGTTCGCCGACCGTCCAGACCACCGTCCATCGCTCGGCGTCCATCGTCCAACAGCCCTTGATCGACTCCTTCCATATCAGCCAACCCTCCCCTCCGTTCGGCTTCCATTGTTTCAGCACCGGCCACAGACCGGAAGAGAAGAAAAATCACCGTCGAAAACCCAGGAAAAAACCCTAGTAGAAACGCAAAAACCCTAGAGAGAATTTTCTAGAGAGAGAATTTTTTATAATGTCCTCATTAAAATAGTGTAATACAATTCCTAATAGAATATATTTTTTCATACTTTCCTATTCGTACTATAATTCTACATTAAAATTCCTATTCATAATACGATAGCACAATCTATATCTATATATATATATATATATATATATATATATATATATATATATATATATATATATATATATATTCTTTCTAGCATTTTTCTGCCCAAACTCATTGTATTGGTCAAATTATTTAATTATGGTAAATTATGGAATAATTAATGATGGTAATAGAAATTCTAGAACAATATAAAATACAAGAATATTTAATTATGGGTATATTATTATTGTGCCTTACGGTCATTATATGCTAACAGAACTTGACAGAAAAATAATAATAATAATAATAATAATAATAATAATAATAATAATAATAATAATAATAATAATAATAATAATAATAATAAATATTATGGTAAATTATGGAATAATTAATGATGGTAATAGAATTCTAGAACAATATAGAATACAAGATTATTTCATTATGGTTATATTATTATTGTGCCTCACGGTCATTATATTCTAACAGAACTTGACAGGAAAATAATAATAATAATAATAATAATAATAATAATAATAATAATAATAATAATAATAATAAAAAATAATAATAATAATAATAATAATAATAATAATAATAATAATAATCCAAACAAAACTATATACAAAATAAAAATAAAAAATAAAAAGAAGAAGGCAAAGGCGAACGGAATGATCGTGGTGACCGGTGTGTAGAAGGTGGCTGACCGAGTGCCCTTTTTCGTAAATGCCTAGTAAGTCGGGCATTCCAGAATAATGAGCTTCCGGGCCAGGGTGTTGGCCCCCTGGTGGGCTGCGCAGATCTGTCGATGCGCCGCCGCTCTTATGAGTTTGGCATCCTCGGGGAGCAAGCAGCGTAGTAGCGGGCCACCGTAAGATCGCTTGTATAGCTATCCGTCCACCAATTCGGAGGACGGAGCTCTCCTCCTTGCGCAGTTAGTGCTCTCCTCCTTGCGCGGTTAGTGTTTTCCTTATTATCAGGCAGCTTTGCTTTCTATTTGTATCTGATCATATCCGCCATCCAAGGCCATTAGGCCTAATCTTGGGAATCCTGGCGGGGAGCGAGCACCTGGGCGACTGTGCAAACCGAGAGCGCCTCAGTGCTCGGTCGTTCCACGTCCTCGGTGCGACAAGCCATCACCAAATGAGGAGGTATGCCCCCTAGAGCCAGTTTCGACAAGATGCCGGCCTCTACATTTTCTTCCCGGGAACGTGTACGACTTCGTGAGCATCTAACTTTTCCAGTAACCCCTCAGTTACATCCTTGTAGAGCTTTAACCTTTCCTCCTTGGTCTCACACTCGGCCTTCAACTGACTGACCACCAGTGGGGAGTTAGTTTTTACGCGTACCCGGGTTGCTTTTAACGCGAGGGCCAAGCGTAGCCCCCCTATGACCCTTTGTACTTTACTTCGTTATTGGATACCCCTGAACTTGTACCGCAATGCGTAGTAAAAATGAAAGCCTTCGGGCATGGTGATCATCACGTCGCCGTCGTAGTGCCGTGCACCAGCCGCGCCATCAGTGTGTACTTCCCACCAGTCGGCGTCCTCCGACCCCTCAATAGGTAGTCTGTCATCTGGGTGAGTGGTGCACTCTACTATGAAATCAGCCAGAGCTTGGGCCTTGATGGATGACCGGGGAGTGTATTTGATGTCGTACTAAGTGAGCTCTATGGCCCACTTCAATAATCGTCTGGAGGAAGTCGGGCTACGCAGAACACTGGATAGGGGCAAATCGATCAACAAACGGACTTCGTGTGCTCGAAAGTAGGGCACTAATTTCCTGACCGTGGTTACCAAAGCGAATGTGACTTTCTCCAGGGGGGAATAATTGATCTCCGCTCCTTTCAGGGTTTGCCCAACGTAGTACACGAGTAACTAAACCTTATCCTCTGTTAAAGATATGTGTGGCTGGTATCTGCTGTTGTTGTATTTAGTCGTAGTCTAGCTCATGTATAATAGTTATTAAACTAGTTGTTATAACTGTTAGCTATCTTTTCTCATTTGTTCAGCTATTTATAGCTGCCTATGAATTCATCAATAAATCACTTGTTTTCATAATCTTATCATGGTATCCAGAGCTTAAAATCTCCTACGAAAGAAACTATCATTTTTTTGTATATTCTACCTTGCTTCCTTCTTACTCAATGGCGTCTACCACCCAAGCTACTGCTCCAGCCACCACTGAAGTCATCCAGCTTCATGCTACTACACACTTCCCTATCAAACTCACACCTATGAATTTCCCAGTATGGTGCCGGCAAGTCCACGCTACTCTTGTTGGGCTTGATCTCCTGGGATATGTTGACGGTTCCATCAAGGAACCAGCCAAGTGCACCGATTCTGCGAACACCGTCGCCAACCCGAGTCATTTCATTTGGTATCGCCAAGACCAAACTATTGTCAGTGCACTTCTGGGGAGCTGTACTGACACAATCCAGCCGGTCATCTCCTCGGCCACAACAGCCCGCGATGCATGGCAACGTCTCATTGCCAGTTACGCTAGTGCCTCTTGAGGACGCATCATTTCTCTCAAGGCAAAGCTCACCACAAACCCCAGAGGTTCTCGGTCCATTACGGCGTACCTCACTGGCATGCGGGCCATCGCTGATGACCTTGCTCTTGCTCAGTGTCCAGTCACTGATGAAGATTTGATCGTGTATGTGTTGACGCAGCTTGGAGAGGAGTACAACTCCATTATCTCTGCAGTCCGCGTTCGTGAAACGCCCATCTCGTGGGGTGAGCTAGCGGATATTCTAACTGACCATGAACGCCAGTTGAAGGTTGCTGATGATACACGCCAATCACTATTGGCAATAGCTAATGCCACTCAGTGGACCTCGTCTTCTCGGAATAACCAGCAATCGAACTATGGTCGGAAATATCACAACAATACTGCTAGTTCCGGCCCCAATCGTATGTCTTGGCAACAATGGGGGACTAATCGCCCTACGGTTATATGCAAATTTTGTAACCTTGCAGGTCATGAATCAAAGGTACGTCGCAAGCTGGCTAGGTTCCTAAGGGAACACAACGTTGTCACCACCCAAACTTTTACATCTCCTACAACCCATTCTGCGCAGGCATCTCCACCCTGGTTGTTTGACAGTGGTGCATCGCATCACGCCACCCCTAGTGTTAAGTCGCTGCAGACACTCTCCGAGTATAGTGGTCCTGATAAAGTGCGCCTGGGTGACAGTAATTCCCTCCAAATATCTCATATTGGTCGGTTTGTAATCCCTACTTCGTCTTTTGTTCTTACCTTAGAAAATGTCTTGCGTGTTCCTTAGTTGCACACTAACTTAGTGTCTATATCCCAACTATGCAAGACTAATCGTGTGTCTGTTGAATTTTTTTATTCCCACTTTATTGTCAAGGATCTTCGAACGGGGATTTCTCTACTACGGAGAGTGAACAATAATGGTTTTTACTATGGTCCGGTTGCTTCTCACCCAACAGTACACACTACACAAATGTCGTGTTTATCTCAGTGGCACCAACAACTTGGCCATCCGTCTAATAAGGTGTTGCAACTTGTGTTACAACGCTGTAATGTTCCAGTTTCTATGTCGTGTTTGTGACAATTTTATTGTTCGTCCTGCAATATGCATAAAAGTCATAAATTTCCCTTCGCAAAAAATACTCTAGTTAGTACTAAACCGCTACAATTAATCTATACTGATGTGTGGGGGCCAACTGAAAAATCTATTGACTTATTCTGCTATTATGTAATCTTTGTCGATCATTTTTCGAAATATATTTGGCTATACCCTGGCTTTATCAATAAATCACTTGTTTTCATAATCTTATCATCCTCCTCGCGCACGAGAACTGACCCGACTGCCTTCTTGGAGGCAGCCAGATATAGCAACAACGATTCACCCTCCTTGGGCTTGGATAAAAGAGGGGGCGATAAGAGATACCACTTGAGATCTTCAAAGGCGGCCTGGCATTACATTCCCCAGTCCACCGGAACCCTTCCCGCCTCTTCATAGCTTCAAAGAAGGGGAGGGCCCGATCAGCAGACTTAGACAGGAATCGGCTGAGGGCGGCCATCCGGCCAGTCAGTCGTTGCATTTCCTTGAGGTTACCGGGGGGCTGCAAGTCCAAGATAACCTGTACCTTCTCTGGGTTGGGCTCGATTCCTCGCCGGGTGGCTATGTAACCTAAGAACTTTCCCCCTCTGATCGCGAACGTGCACTTCTTGGGGTTTAACTGCAGGTTGTACTTCCTCATGACACTGAAACAATCCGCCAGGTCCTTGGCATGATCCATTTCCTCCCTGCTATTGATTAACATGTCGTCGACGTTGGCCGCCGTGGACATGCCGATCAGATCTTTGAATAGCCGGGCCACCATCCTAGTGTAGGTGGCTCCCGCATTCTTGAGGCCAAATGGCATGACTTTATAGCAATAAACCCCATCCGGGGTCACAAAGGTGATCTTCTCCTTGTCCGCCATATGCATGAATATCTGATGATATCCCCAGAATGCGTCCATGAAGCTAAGCAAAGCACACCCGACCGTATCATCCACTAAATGAACGATTTGTGGCAAGGAAAAAGGGTCCTTTGGGCACACCTTGTTATGATCCATATAATCCACGCACATCTTCCACGGTGGCGGCTTGGGCACCAACACCACGTTGGCCAGCCAGCCACGTGTAAAGGCCGACAATTTGACCGCATTTTTGGGGTTTGGCTTGGCAGGGTTGAGATCCTGAGGAGCTGTTCTGCTGAGCAGAGAGCTAGTGGGATTGTTTGGACAGTTAAGAAGGAAATTACGAGGTATTATTCTTTGCTCAAGAGTAATCAGATTCTTGCTGTTTATCTAGGGAACCTTATTGATACTACTTATACTGGTGTATACCATGCTAAAATCAAGATTCATTTTTATCCTGAGGAAGGGTTGAGTTTGGAGAAATCTGCAAATTTGTTTGATTCTGTGGCGGATTTGATAATACCCATTTCGAGAAACTTGCCATTGAATGATGGGTTATGGTTTGAAGTTGAGAATTTGACAGATTTTGAGACTAAGGAGTTCAAGATTCCTGGGAATGCTTATAGGGCAGTGTTGGAGGATTATGTTTCTTTCCATGAAAATGATGAATTCTGGAATGGGAATCCTCCCAATGACTACATTTCTGCAAATAATCTCACTGGCCTTCCAGGGAATGGACCTTTTAGAGAGGTGGTTGTTAGTTTGGATGACAAAGTAGTTGGTGTTGTTTGGCCTTTCAATGTGATTTACACTGGAGGTGTCAATCCCCTCCTGTGGAGACTATTAGGAATATAGCGGAATAATGCGGAAGCGAAGAATCGAAAATTGAGAATTATAGAAGTTGAGTAATAGGGGAAAATATAAATGACACAAAGAAATAACAATATGGAGAATATATATATTATATATTATCACTCAAAGAGGACTAAAGAAAATTAATATCATATATATATGTATGCTACGTGAAATAGCTAAAAAGAAAAGGTAATGAATGAATTGATGCATTAATTACAAAGCTTAAACAAGCTATTTATACATAGAGAAAGAAAGAGATAAATACGGCATTTAGGATGCAAGGCACCACTTCCGGCGGAGACGTGCAATGAGAAGGCTACTATGCATGCGACGTGGACGGACAACAGTATGTGGTGCATCATGGTGAGTGGAATGGATTTTGAGCCACAGAAATGAATTATTTTCTAACAATCTCCACCTTGGATCAAATCTATTGTAGAAATTAATAATTGGAACAGCCCGACTAAACTCAAGCACTACTTGAACTTAGCAACAGGAAGAGTCTCGGAATAGCAGGATGGAACACCATCAACCTCCTGTGTGACTGAAAGAGCATAAGCAACCAAGTTGGTTTGATCATCACTAGCATACATAGCAGGTTTTTTAATTGTCCTCCTAGAACGATCCATAGCAATGGAATATTCTCGTTGTGGCTCGACGAGAGGTGCTGTGCTAGTAGATGCATCATCTTTAGTATTACCATCAGCAGTAGTAACACTATCAATAGGCCTGAACTCAAACTCCTCATTCTCACCAGTACTCTGCGTCTCACCTGTACTGGGAACTTTTCCAGAAGAAAGTAGTGCATTTTCATCAAAAGTGATATCTCGACTCAAAATGATTTTCTGAGAATCAGGAGACCATAGACGATACCCTTTTGACTCAGAGGCATAACCAAGGAAAATGCATTTGACAGCTCTCAGGTTTAATTTACCCGTACTGGAATGAGCATAAGCAGGACATCCAAAAACTCTTAAGATAGAGTAGTCAACAGGATTACCTGACCAAACTTCCTCCAGAATTTTGAAATCAAGGGATGAATGTGGAGATCTATTTACCAAATAGCAAGCAGTAGAAACGGCTTCGGCCCAAAAATCACGCCGTTTCCATAACCCAGCATTAGAGAGCATACAACGAGCTCTTTCCAATAAAGTCCTGTTCAAACGTTCGGCAACACCATTCTGCTGGGGTTTATCAGGCAAGGTCTTGTGCCTGGCGATTCCATTTGCTGCACAAAAGTCATTGAAATCTGACTCACAGAACTCCAAGCCATTGTCTGTCCTGAGCTTCTTGACTTTTTTACTTGTCTGAGTCTCAACAAGTATTTTTCACTTCTTGAAAATAGAAAATGCCTGATTTTTATGTTTCAAGAAATAGACCCAGACTTTACGAGAAAAGTCATCAATAATAGACATAAAATATCTACAGCCTCCCATAGACTGGAATTTAGTTGGTCCCCATAAATCGGAATGTATGTATTCCAATACATCTTTGGTACGGTGTGTAGTAGTAGAGAAACTAACCCTCTTTTGTTTCCCAAAAACACAATGCTCACAGAACTGTAATTTACCTGTACCTGAACCACCAAGGAGGCCTTTCTTGCTCAGGATATGCATGACTTTCTCACTCATATGCCCCAGACGCATATGCCATAACTGAGTGAGATCCGCATCAGACATCGATGAGGATACCGCTACTGAACCTGTCACAGTACTGCCTTGCAAGATGTACAAGCTTCCGGAACGAGAAGCTTTAATGAGAATAAGAGAGCCTTTTATGACTTTCAGAACTCCACCTTCAGCTATGTACTTGCACCCCAGAGATTCCAAGGTGCCCAAAGATATCAGATTGCGTTTCAAATCAGGAATATACCGAACATTGGTAAGAGTCTTGATAACGTTATCATGAGTTTTAATATGAACACTTCCAATTCCACTAACCTTGCATTGCGTATCATTACCCAGCAAGACAACATCACCATCAACCGGTTCCAGAGAGACGAACAAGTCTTTGTGAGAACACATGTGGAATGTACAACCAGAGTCCAGAATCCACTCGGTTTCGCTCCGTTTGCAACCGGAGGTAACAGATAACATAACATCGCCTTCTGAATCACTTTCAACAACACTAGCTTCAGCGAACTTATTTTCTCTTTCTTGCTTGTTTTTCAACTTGAAGCATTCAGTCACATCGTGACCCTGCTTCTTGCAGTACTTACAGGATTTGTTGGACTTACGTCCATTGGACTTGGATCTAGAATTTTTATTGCTACTCCCTGATTCAAGTGAACGACCCTTACGGTCAAGCCTTCACCTTTGTCCTCAGACTTAATTTCAATGTCAAACTTTTCTTTGGACAATAGGTTTGACTTAACATTGTCGAAAGTAAGGGTATCACTACTATTACCATACAGCATAATTTCTTTGAAATGCTTGTATGATTTAGCGAGAGAGACAAGCAATAAAACAGCGCGATCCTCATCGTCAATTACAACATCAATATTTTCCAAGTCCAATAAAATAGAATTGAATTCATCCAAGTGAGATTTAATCGAAGTACCTTCCGTCATACGGATTGTGTACGGGCGCTCCTTCAGGCGTAGCGTGTTCGCCAGAGTTTTGGCCATGTAAAGCGTATCCAGCTTGGACCATAATTCTGACGCAGTCGTCTCACTTAATACCTCACGTAGAACCTCTTTAGACAGGCACAAAAGGATGGTTGAACGTGCCTTGTCATCCAAATCTTCCCAAGTTTCATTTGTCATTGTAGCCGGTTTCTTCTTCTTCCCAGCTAGCGCTTTCTTCAAACCGTTCTGGGTTAGAACGGCTTCCATCTGAACCTTCCAGATAGAAAAGCTAATTTTCCCGTCGAACTTCTCGATATCGAACTTGGTAACAGTCAACATCTTTGAAAATAACTCTCAATTAAACCGCTCTGATACCACTTGTTAGGAATATAGCGGAATAATGCGGAAGCGAAGAATCGAAAATTGAGA